ATACATATATATATGTATATATATACATATATATATGTATATATATACATATATATATGTATATATATACATATATATATATATATTTACACACACGCAACAGGTATGTATACACAACATACCCTGTAACACACACGTAGAATCGTTCCCCGCCTTCACGGCTCGACAAGACCTTCCATCTCCCCGGTGTCGGCAAATTGGTACCGGACTTGTCTGGAAGGATAGCAGCACTGGCTCGATACATTCATCTCCAAAAACGATGTTTAATGAAGTAGAATGTATGGCGCATCCCTCGGGGATTGATTAGCACCGAGAGCTTTATATTTTATTTTTTTATATATGTTTATATTTATTTAGACACTGGGCTGCTCGAAGGTGATTTGAGCAATTAAAATAATCCTTGCTCTTTTCAAATGTTATTAAACTGGAATCTCTCTGGGTGTATGATTTTCAAGAATATTACCAATTACTACCCACTTCAGAGACAATACGAAGAAGAGCATCCTTACAGTCCGATTCCGGTGCTTCTAAACGACGTCTTCTTCGCCGTTCACGCTTTGATTGCGTGTGTTTTTACTGCGGCTCAGTGCTTTTTCTACGAGGTTACACAAATTTTTAAAATTTAATAAATTAACACAACACATTACGCCATCGATGGACCCTTGAAACATGAAAACAGTGCTTCAGTAATGTGTCATCAATAATCCTTAACTTACAATCCTTCTTTAAGACAATCAAGGATGTTTAACGTTTTGTTTTCTGCCTTCTATAATTTTCATGGCAGGTTACTAAGTAAGCGAAATACAACCACAACGTTGCTGAGATATTTGCAAAACTCTGGACCGCAGGTGTCTATGGTGGGGAACGAACGCGCTATTGTCCTTTCCGGGGAGTAACGCGTTCACCACCACACCATGCGGGTCCTTTGTTTCGCACGTCTCTCAGCAATCAAGGATGTTTCGTACTGAAATAACCTGCGCGTTATGACTATGAAACCCAATTCCTTTAAAGTTGTGTTCTTCAAACACTTTAAGATCGACGGCATATGTGTTTAGAGACAAAAATTCTCCTAAGTAGTTCAAAAGTAACATTAAGACACATACAGTCACTTGCAAATAATTCTAGGAAATGACCTAGATGTGACCAAGATGGTTTTTGAGCGCCATGTAGCGATTTCAATTAAGCGCGCCAAAATATTGGTGTTTATAACAGCGATCTGTAGAGATGTACGTGATGTCACTCCACACCTCAAATTTAGGTAATTAGTCCTTCGTGTAAATATGATAACGATAAGGTGATAACGAAGACAGCTGCCTACAACGAGGATATGGGGATCGGGAGAGAAACTTTAGTGCACCGATGGTGCAAAACTATGATTGTATACTGATATATGTACGGGGAAGAGTAGGAGGGAGAAATGATACCACAGATCTTTGGCAATTTCTGGCAATTTACTATCATTGTAGTAGATGTGACTATTCCCAGCAGTAATGTCTTACGAACTATCCTTGTTTTAGTTTGCGCGGTGATGATATTCCTTAGAAGATAATATAGATAATATATACAAACTAGATAATATACAGAAACCTAGGGCATTCTCAAAGAACGAGAGAACCCTTCAGCTGAATAATGATGAATTGCTCATTTAGCGTGGAAATCAACGGGTTTCATTTACTTGCCTCGCCATCTCGGCCACCATGATCATGGCAGCTTTTGGCGGTGGCGTTATCACCAGCCTCGGCGTCATCAATATGCTGTATTTTGTCACAGGCTTATCCTACATTAAGATGATCGTTACTCTTCTCAAATACATCCCTCAGGTACGTATCGTCCTTCGAAATCTTTACAAAGCATTAACTTAATGTGCACACAAACTATTTTGAGTCTTTACAACAGTTCATAAGATTGATTTTGGCATGAGTGATTTACTGGAGTTCTCTTAGAAAACATCTAGTTTACTGTATAGGAGTATACATGCGTAATAACGAAGAACAATCTCAGCTCGAAGAAAACGGGGAGACGGAGACCACCGTTGAAATAACGTCAAAACATACCCCTAATTTATTCCAAAAATCCGAGCTATTTCTTCAAAGATACGTGTAGTTCTCGCTATCACATAGCTAAGATCTAACACAATGTTTGTTCCGATAATATGGTATAGATGACTGTGCGAGAAGTAGAACTGAGAACTTGAGAAGTCCACCATCTTCTGGCTTCCATTACCTTTCAAAGAAATTACGATGACCGGGATTTTTTGCTGAGATTCAGTTTCCTTCCTCATCAAATTGGATGTGGAAGTAAGAATTTGATTGAAAGTTTGAGTAGTATTTATAGCTAAGATGTCTAGTGTCCTCATTCCAAATGAAGCTTCGGGATTCTGCTTTTCAAAAATGCGCTAACACTTGAGCATGCCTCGAACTACTACATAACTTGATACTTGAATGGCCCGTCCTCACTAGTTGTGTGGGTCCCAGCATAATCTCCATTTTTCGGAGATTTGCTGGTTAAGCCATTATGGTTCTCTGTAGTCACGAGGTCAGCCTGGCCAATGTCTGCCCCATGTCCTCACCACCACAGGCAGTCGCAGCCCTTGGGGATCAGAGGGAGATTTACCACCATGCGACTTTGATACAAGGACGGTAGTGGATCCTGGTATTGGTTTACTCTTAACTAGGCTTCCTGATGGAAACGCCAGACTCCTGCCAGAGGATGAATCTCCCGTTGTACTTCGCAGTCCGACACCCAGGAACACCTCCCAACCACGATGAGGCGGTAAGCCATTGGGAGGAATTACTACGTAAAGCCATAGAAAATTAAAGTCTATAAGAATTTACATGCTATAAACAAGAACCACATAACAGACAGAGTTGAAATTTTCGAGGAATGTCGAGAAGCGAAATGCCAATGATTTCCTTCCTTTCAGGCGATGCAGAACTTCCGTCGAAAGAGCACCACTGGTTGGTCAATCGGAAACGTGCTCCTCGACTTTACTGGGGGGTGTCTCGACATCTTACAGATGTGCTTACAGTGCTGGAATGTATCCGACTGGTCAGCGTTCTACGGAAACCCTGTGAAGTTCGGCTTGGGTCTCGTCTCTACGTTGTTCGACATCCTATTCATGACGCAGCACTATGTATTGTATCGAAACAATGAGCAATTACTAGCATTTGAAAAGTCGAACCAACTCACGATGGGCAATAGTGAAACAGACAAATTCAGGGACGCTGAGGAAGATAACGGTGGGCGAAATAGCAGTAGCAAAAGTAGTCATAGGTAGCCTACTTCGAAGTATATGTCATCATTTACAACTTTAGAGCTTGATGAGGACTGAGTTCCTAACCAAATTTGTTAGCACTAACTCTACCTTTGATAAAGTGCTCATAACGTTCATTTTTTAAGGGATATAACTGAACACTGAGACACTATCAAGACCAAAAATACGTACAAAACTAATAAGATACACATTACCAGTAAGATTTAAAACAACGAGCAACATAGTTTACCGAGCAACCTCCGAAGCATTGAATTGGTAAAACCATCCATTAAGACAACTAGGAAAATAACAGTGCAAAGTGTGAATAGGTCGAGCTTGTACATGGCAGAATATATGGAGAGGCGAGCTAAGTTAAAATGTATACAATATTTTCAATTCATGCATCCACCATCAGCCGAGGTGCAATCGACATTGCCATTAATTCTTGGAACAACAATTTGCAAGCGTACGGTATGCGAACTGCCGATACTTGTGTTTTATTACGGCAAGCCTAGAATAAGATTGACATAAAACAAATAGAAATCAAAGTGCTTCAAAAAGACCACCTTGCACTCGAAGCTATTAGTCCGGAGGTTCGCAACAACGATTAGCCCACAATTATTGCACACATAAACATGGTACGGATCCGAAACTTCGAACAGCCTCTCACGCAGAAATTGTGCAGCTCCATGGGAAATCTGACAATCGCGTTCCATTTCTCCGAATCGCAAACCTCCATCCCTTAAGGGAACACAGTCATTACTAGACAACAATACGTAGTTCCATGTTTGACTCTCATATTTCTTTTCATCTTCTCGCTCAAAATCTTGATTAAATTATCCCCAGGATTTCAAACTGTCAGCAGAAATTTGCTGTAAAAGACATCGTTCAAGTTTTTTTTTTCCAAAATAACACCTAAACCTAAGCCCTTTGCGTTGATTTGTACGATTTTCATGCAAATGAAGCAGCATCTCATACTGGAGTTTGCGTTTCGTACGCGAAAATCTCCGCTTCGCAACGACCTATTCCACTATGACCACTTTTATTCGATGGTATTCAAAAGTATTCGAAGTATATTCAAAAGTGGCAGTGCTGTGGCAAAAAGATCGATAGAAATAGCTGAGAGACGTGCGAAACAAAGGACCCGCATGGTGTGGTGGTGAACGCGTTACTCCCCGGAAAGGATAATAGCGCGTTCGTTCCCCACCATAGACACCTGCGGTCCAGAGTTTTGCAAATATCTCAGCAACGTTGTGGTTGTATTTCGCTTAGTAACCTGCCATGAAAATTATAGAAGGCAGAAAACAAAAACGTTAAACATTATATTCAAAAGTGTTTTCAGCTGCGATTATTAATCTTGTTTTTCCACTTAGCTGTATAGTACGGAAATAGTCAAAGAAGTCTTCTCAATACTCAAAAGCGCAGGAATCAATTCAGTCTCTTACTAATATGTAAGATCACACTACATAGAGTAGCAAACCAGCGAGGGTACCAACGAAATAGTGAGCTCCCAACTTCGTATGCGGTTCAAAGAAGAGAAACCCGTCGCCGCGTCCACCTTTTACAAGACGAAAAAACTTGCTGATATTATGGTCCAATTCTATCATTTGTACAGTCCTGCATTAATCACTGAATGTATCGATCTAGCATCAGCAAAGTCCTCATCCAGCTTTTTAATTTTCATGAATGCTGGCTGGAATATAAGCAATTCAGAGCTTTCCATACCCTTCCTTTAGAGCCAGCATACACACGGTAAGTTAGCTTGTAACTTTTGGAATCGAACGTATAACTTTTGCTTAGAAGTGATTTTAAAGCTCCCACACGTGTATCGTCACCTAATTAACACCTAATTAAAGGAAAACACGAATGAACATAGACTCGCGCGAGAACGGACTATTAATATTAATAGGCTACATTTTTGATTTCTATAACTTGAAAAACTTCCAAAAGTAGTAATTAATTCCCTCTGTTATACAGGATCACTCCAACTGTAGCAACTTCATTCAAATTATTAAAGGACCAATTTTTCCAAAATCATCTGTATCACCTGTAGTCCCTTGATGGTCGAGTGACTCGAGCGAGCACCAGTAAATCTTCCATTTTTCCCCGTCGCATGCAAGAGTAGCCCAGTAGGTACTGCTCGCTCTAGGGACTTGTTGAGCATCATATCTTTCTTCAAGGCTCTTTGTGAATAACTCTGACCATCGGGTCGGTGCTCTTCCCGCAGTGCGTTTGACATCACGAGGAATCCAGTCATTAACGGCTCTCATCCATCAGTTGGTATTCATACGCATTATGTGTTTGGCACAGATTATCTTCGACAGTCTGGCGTATAGAACAGCATCTTTGACCTTTGGTCGTTGACGCCGGTTAAAGCTCCTGAAACCTTCTTTCACTTGTGTGACACAGGATACTCTTAGAATTGTCCTTTCGACTGCGCGTTCAATAACGCTGAGTGAACTTTCATCCCGCTTACGCAGCTAGCAGGTTTCCGACGCATAAGTCGAGGGAGGAAGAATCGCGGAGTCGAAAAGCTGGGCACTGAGTTGGGGGTTCTTTGTTTTCCTCCCTACATCCTCGATGCTCTTTGAAGCTCCTGAACCAGCTGGTTTCCTCCTGCTCAACCAACTCTGGAGCTAATTCGTTCATCACGTCGATTTCTTGACCTAGATCGACGTAGCTGGAGTATTCGTAGACGTTCATTCCGTTGAGCGTGAAAAGAGCATAAGAAACCTATCCGTTCCTCATGAACATCGTTTTTGTGGGATTTAGCCGAAGATCCATTTTTCCATTGGCGTTATCAAAGTTAGCAAGCATTCGTTCTGCTTGGCTAATGTTTGGTGTTATAAGAGCGATGTCATCAGCATAGCGAAGAATTGTGAGACAGAGCGGTCTCTTGTACTTTCGCGATACCTCGATGAGTTTTGTCCTCGTGTGGATTTTTTCAAAAACGAAAAAGTGGAACCTTTACATTATCTTTGCAACCCTTCGACGCCATTGGACTCAATGCTATGAAACTTTGGAAATAGGCAGGAAATTTACAACTGCTTTTGTTAGACTGAAGATTCTGCCCGCTGCAACCCAATTTCGATAGCACAGTGCTTACCACTTCTCACCAATTTTGGCAGTTATCGCCTTTTCGGGACAAACCTCTAGGCGTTTTTGTCAAAATCCATTACACGTCCAGAACGAAGGACACTGCTCATGTGAAAACACCATATTTTCATGAAACAACCTACCATTTTTGAAGACAGAGTTTTCTGTACAGAGTGCATTTTCTAACAATATTCTCATAGCCATGTTCTACCTTTTATTTTCTGCCTACTACAATTTTTACGGCAGGGTACTAAGCGAAATACAACCACAACGTTGCTGAGATATTTGCAAAACTCTGGACCGCAGCTGTCTATAGTGGACTATAGCGGAGAACGAACGCGCTATTGTCCTTTCCGGGGAGTAACACGTTCACCACCACACCATTCGGGTCCTTCGTTTCGCGTCTCTCAGCTAGTTGTATCGATTTATCTATTCTATCTATTCAACTACAGCTTCAGTTTAACTGGGTTCAATGCCGATGTGGGCTCCCCAGATCAACCCCGCGGAAGGGTGATTGCTGTGGCAAAATCATCGATAGAAATAGCTGAGAGACAGGCGAAACGAAGGACCCGCATGGTGCGGTGGTGAACGCGTTACTCCCCGGAAAGGACAATAGCGCGTTCGTTGCCCACCATAGACACCTGCGGTCCAAAGTTATGCAAATATCTCAGCAACGTTTCGGTTGTATTTATCATAGCTATGTTGGTAATGAACTCACTGACACTAAGCTATGGAGTTTTTTGCCAAAAAATCACAACCTTTTCTGTAAAAAAAAACTGTCGAAGACTAATAACATCTAAATATTACATAAATACATGATATACGTCTATCCTACCTTGCGCGTCCCTCCATTGGCTGCCTATTCATCATCTGAATCGGCCCCCTTGCACGCGAGTGGATTTTGTCATCCACCATGTGTTTCAATCGCTGGTAATATGTAGGGCCGAAGAATATCTAAACCAGTGAATAATGAAAAATTCATAGAAAAACATAAACTCAGTTATATGTATTAATATATGTCCACACATATGTGTGGGCATATATATGTGTATATAATGTACGTATACATGTATATAGATGTGTATTACACACATATATATATACAGATATGTGCTATATACAAACCTGAGTAGTGAGCTTTGTTCCCGTGTGCCCATTATACATTACTTCATTTCCCCGGAGATGATAACCATACTCTTGCAACAGGTTACTAATTTTCTGCACATTGACAGTGTCATTGAAGGGAGTCGCATCACCGATCTCTCCTTTATTGGCCGAAAGCTGGAAGCGCAAAATAAATTCAATACAGGAATCTATCTATCAGTACGAAACCGATAGCAAGTCCGGATACTCAATACTAAAGCTAACCTTTCCCTGCAAACATTCAATCAAATGACCAATAGTCATGCGAGATGGAACAGCATGTGGATTAATAATTATATCGGGCGTCAAACCTTCGCAAGTGAATGGCATATCTTCCTGTAAATCCTCGATTTTGTAATAAATTGAAACAACGAACAACAGTACAAAGATATAGTGAGAAAATTAGCAAAGTACAGCACACAAAGTCGAAACATGAATCATCTCCATGTTAAGCAAAAGAAAAAAAACGAGGGAGTACCTGTCTGTACATGATACCCATGGTGCCCTTTTGCCCATGTCGCGATGCAAACTTATCTCCAATTTGAGGCAGCCTCACCGATCGCACACGAACTTTTACAAATTTGTTACCATCGGTGTTTAACGATACCATTACCTGATAGCAAAGCGTTTCAACAAATAGTAATCGACATGGACTAAGCACAGTGCGCATACAGCACGTAATTGATGGCCGCTTTTAAACCCAGAACAACACATTTCAGTTCATAGCCGACTTTATTGATCGAAGTAGAACTACTAACATCCGCAGACTTCCCTAAATGAGACTAGTTTTTTTATTCTCCTACGACGAAATCCTAATTTTCTAGAGCGGATATTTCCTCGACCTTTTTTTCTGAAGCTCGTATTTTGAAGATAAAAGCAATTAACGCTTTTGCAATAGTTTGGTCCTAGACGTCCAAATGTTGCGGTGCGCATGAACGACTTGAACGCATAGAATCCGTTTCTAGTTCAGTGGGTCACAGAAATTTTTGCCGCCCTATGTATATTGTTTCGATAGCTAATCGAAAGCGGATCAAATTAGAAGAGTTGGAACAAGAATACCATTCTCTACACCCTGAATGAGTTCATTATCTGGTAATTTGAGTAGCAATTAACTGTTGTTTTATCTCAATCGCTAACCAAGTTTTTGCATGGAATGGGCAGGTATAAAAAAAGTAGACTGAACATAAGCAGCACAGCCCAAATCTTAAAACAATGTGTTTCTTTGATAGACCACAACATAAAGTAAATATTAGCATACATACCATTCATACCATTCCGACCCCCTCATGTCTAGTTATTGAAAAATTATTCCTTATTGTCAGAAAACAGACAAGCCCGTAAAGACAAAAATAAGCTTTGTTCCAAGAGGTAGGATCGCTAATGGCTGCCTGTAGTAAGTGTGTTAACCAAGCAGTATATTATCCAGTAGGACACAATGGTACTCTCTAATGCAATGTTGGTGTTGCCGATGGAGGCACGTGCGTGGGAAGACCAAAAATCCAAAAATTTCACATTCGTTTCTAACTTTTGCGAATTTCAAATCTAAACACACTGAGACGTTGAAAGCACATTTCATAAAAATTATCCGAACGGCTAAAGCGGTAAGAGCAAATTCCTCTGCGAAACTGCGAAGTCGCCAACTTCTTAAGTACTACAGTGATAGAATAAACATCTTTAGTTTACGAAAAACCACTATTGAGAGTAATGTATTAAATAACGAAAAGTCGCGTCAAGACAACTCACCTGATCAACTATACCAGTTTCAGAGCTCCTCAGGAAAGTTGAGGCATCTCGTTTTACGTACTTCTTACTATTTGCGTCCAAATCGTCGTCCTAATTACATAAAAAGTACAAAAAGCACGAATAACAAAAAAGGAACACAACATACCACTTCAGGAAGCGCAACTGTTTTTCCAATGATGACATCATCTCCAGAAACACGCATCCCAGGAGAGATAATGCCATCTTCATCCAACTGAAAATGAGATTAACAGCACCAAGCTTGTCAGGAGCTGCTAAACTAGGAATACCTTGTCATAAAGAGAATGTCTCATTCCAGAGCACTTGTCACGAGTTGGTTTCTCGATTAATTCCTCATTAGCTCCATCCAAGTTGGCCTCTTGGTCGCGATAAGATCGGTAGAAAACCGGTAAAAGGTAAAGCGATACAAGATGAAATAAACAGGACTGCATAAAGCTAGTCTAAATACCTACAGATCTGAACAATCCTCTATCTATAGCCGACTGATTCATAATCACAGAATCTTCTTGGTTGTAACCAGAATAAGATAAAATGGCCACAATAGCATTTATACCGGCAGGTAGCTCGTTGAACCTGCAACATCCAAATTAAGAGTGAAAAAACTGGACGAGGAAAAGGGCAATGTCATTTCTTAGTTACCAACACCGAAGTTATCCAAAATTTCCTTCCACCAACCTGACAGAACTATCAGAACAAACCAATAGCACACAATCGAAAATAACTCTAAAGGATTTACCAATTCCAGAACCCTATACTTTAAATAAAATTGAGTTCATAAAAATTGCTCACTACTGAGAGAATATGTTAGTCCTAATGATGATTATCTCAGACGAAAATATTTTTTTGGTTAAGTTATAGTATAATAAAACGTTTTTTCAAAATCATCACTAGTTTTCGGATAAGCTAATGACAAAAAACGAACTTAGCCTTGAAAACATCTTGAAAATAAAAATTTAATTTTACCTTAGATATTCCATTGATCTAGTGGTGACCAAAGGTTTCTGTGGATAATACAATACATGAGCAAGTGTATCCATACGGACGTGGAAGTTAGTTGTATACACACCCATAGCTTGTTTACCCATAGCGCTCTCAAATGAAACGAATGTTTTTCCTTGTTAAAAACTGTGCTTCTCTCTACAGGTCGATCCGCAATTACTATTGTTAACAATAAACTCAGACATATCATTTTTTGCGTCAATCATGATCTTAGGTCAAATAACTTACTTGATAAGTATTCCTTGGGCTTTGATTATGATCAGGGAATGGGATGATGGACGCACACACTCCAAGGATCATTGCAGGATGAATCTCACAATGAGTGTAAGTGTCGCAATAGCCTCCGGCTTTTAAATCCTCGGGCATCATTGCCAACATTACCGTCTCTAAACAAATACAGACCAAGCCATAACATATATACAAAAAATTCACCATCTGGAAAAGAAATTGCAGTTAGAAACCTTCTTCCAATGCATCGATCAGTTCAACTACACCACCCGCAACGAGATCTGACCAACTATAATTACTTCCAGATTCACGATCCTACAAAATGAATGGGAACAATCACTACATAACTCGCAAATTGTGTTTGAGAAGGTCCGACTTCACTCTAGAAAGTAACAGCAAAAAAGTGGATGAAAACCAGACTCACCTTCAGCTTATCGATATGACTCTTTTTCAGTGCAAGTTTTTGATTCTCTACGATCAATAGCGGTCGACAAACACGGCCTGCATCAGTGTAAATTCGAATCTCTCGATCTCTTATGTCTCGTACCATCGAAACCTTAAATAAAATCGTTCATACAAGATCATCGATCCTAAGTGCAAAAACTCCGACCTCCGACACGATAATGTCCATCTGTCTCCGAAGTTTCTTGAGAGTGGTCATGAGATGTTCTGGGTCACGATGAATTCCCACCCATGCCCCATTTACAAAAATCTTTGTCGCGTCAGCAATTGACGATGGCGCCACTTCTAAATAACAACAGTTTTGCAGTAATCTACAGATAATTCAACAACTTCTGTAGCCGCAAGAATATCACCTTCCAAGTTTTCCATCGACCATTCCTCCAAAAATTCCAAGATTGGTTCTGGTAACGAGCCTACTGAGATATATGCCATCAATGCTAGATTCTTCACCAAACCCACTGCTTGACCTTCTGGAGTCTCCGCAGGACACACCTAATGGTGATGTTCACATTCACCACATTCATAACTACGAAAGCTTAAACTTAAATGATAAATAATAGAAGAAATAAATAAAGTAGAACTAAAATAGAACAATTATTGGATTGGTAGGAAAATAAGAGTGTGTTATAAATTATAAACTTGAAATGCTAAAACTCAGCCTCAATCATAATTTTTTTTGATTAAAATAACGAGCTATTGGATCTCAAATATCTTCTAATAACAAGAAAGTCGATTTTTTTCGCGTACTGCAGAATTCTGCTCTTGATATGATGATGTTATTTTGATCAGGAAACTTGTTATTGAAGATCTCATCGGATGGAGATTCACTGACAGAATGGCAGTTGGTAAGCGGCTAATCTGACGAGCACGGTGAGTGAGGGGGTCACACCTTGAGCATTTCAGCTTTTGCAGTGGACGATGTGCAACATGTGGTCCAGCGCAGCCGTACAAAAGCACACGAACTTTTCTGCTGGCTTAGAGACATGGAGCCATCCTGAAGTGTTTGTAAGATTCCATATATTCCATGCCAGTACTTCTCTGCAATGATCATTTCTTCACGGTCGAAGATCTTGAGTTAGATGAGTCCCTCTGTTGAAAAGTGTTATCACAACCATCAGAAGTGTAAATTTTTCCGCATGAATGAATATCGCACGTTATGTCGAGTACAGTATTTCCTTTGTCCATTAATTTTCTCGCATCGATCATTCACGAAGCTCTTTGGACCTGCTTTGCAGGCTCGGAGACTGCTTGGAAGTTTTTAGTCCAGTTCATGAACATCACTGAATTCTGTTTCTATCGAATCCCCCAGGAATCCTGAAATAGTCGCGCTTGATTGTTCTCCACTTAGGAGAGATAAGAGCCTTGTTTAGCTCCAGGCGAGGTCTCTAAACCGAGTCCTTGCATCTATTTGATGACACCATTACCAGTGTTTTAACAATAGTTAATTATCAACTAAAATTAAGATAATTATCAACTGTTTATTATAATGACAAAACTGGCCATTATTTTTAAACTAGCAATTATCATGCAAGAAAGAATGAAATGAAAAGCAACATGAATCTGAGTAAACTGGTATAGCGCACCATTCCCCATTGCGTGTTGTGCAGCTGCCGAGGTTTTGCAAGCTTTCCTTCCCTTCCGATAGGTGAGTTAGCCCTACGTAGATGAGAAAGAGTAGCTGTGTAAGTAAGACGATTCAGGACCTGAAAAAACGCGCTTATGGAACCAAACGAAAGTGCATACCCAGTGTTAGCGAATGAAAACCACAACCACTCAAAGTTTATCCTGAGTTTCAGATAAGTCCACGTCCACACAGAGCTACTCTGCACAACATTATGTAAGAAGGGAAAAGAAGAACCTGCGACACTCCAGCCCTGGATTGGTGAGCCTTTTTCTGATCTCCCCAGTTTCCTGTGGCAAGAGAATAGGCAAGACCACGAGTTATTGTTGACGTTTTGACACACACGTCGAGTGAAAAGTCTCCATTCTTATTTATATACTTTTGCGCAGTAAGCCGCATCTTAAACAAGAGGTTTTCAAAGCAAAGGAATGCGGTGTAAAAAAAATTAAAACAAACTTCTTTTAGTAAATTTCTAAACAACGCCCGGAACAAAAACGCAAGTAGGGGACCAGCCAGATCCAATCTCTTGTTTCCAATATGATCTCGGTCATCGAGTTCGCGACGGCCTAGCGCTGCGAGTAGAAGTCGATGAACCATGTAACCAATAAAATACTAAAACAAGGTAATGACAAACCCACAAAAAAAAAACTTTCTGAGTAAAATTTCACGCACTGCTTTCTTTGTTTCACAAAAATCCATAACTCCAACATGGGGCAGCAATTCTTTTTGCAAAATTTCCTTAGCATACTTAATACGTTGTTCCTTTGTAACACCTGGCTTCGCACCACGTGCTCCAATGAAGTTGAGCGCAACATTTTGCTCCTGGAACCACAGAAGAAATGCTGTTATTTCTTTGGATCTATGGAAATGTTTGGCAGCCTTAAAAAACGTGACCAAATAGTATAACCAAGCGGTCAGTGTAGGAAAAACTAGAACTGTCCAATTTAATCTCAAAAAGCCCTCAATGACAAAACATAACTATCCACAATCATCCACCTGAATAACAAAAGCTTCATCCAACGAGGGTTTAACCATCTCCATCATTTCGGGATCCTCGAAGTCGTATATTATGTGTTCGAGTATGTCACGATCAGAGACAAAACCAAGAGCTCGAAACACAATCATTACAGGAATCTCCTTAAAAAGAAAACGTCAAAATTGGCTCAAAAAAGATGCCTGATTGCAATGTGATACATAGATTAAAACGGTTTAGTTCGTCTTTCAAACGGGACGTGGATGGCCGACCATTGCTTAAAACAAATTTTAGAACCTTATAACGATACCTGCTTAATATAGGGAAGGATAGCTATAATACGTTGCCCCATCGCAGTCTTCTTGGCTCCTCCTCCGCTGCGAGCCAACATGTTCACCCACATGGTTGATGTTGGACGACTGAAACGCAGCCGCGTTTTACTACTAAAAATACCTCATAGGCAAAAAAAAACTACCTCGAGTTCTCGAGGCAAGACCTGCATTCTGCCTTAAATGCATATTTCCCGTCCTTCATTGAAAACACATAAACAGTATTCGTTGCCATCTTCTCCTGCGCGATAAGAACCTAAACGAAGCAAATAAATATTTTTGAGCCGAAGAAGTTAACCATAGGATAGTTTTTGACGCAAACAAAGTAACATTAATTTCTGGAAATTGAGAAATTACAAATCTGTATTGAAACCACCTTCTCGGAGCCATTGATTACAAAGTAGCCACCAGGATCGAGCGGGCACTCATTAAGCTCTGTCAGGTCACGATCAGACATATTGGAAAGCATACAGTAGCTCGATCTATAAGTCAACAATATTCAGCATATATATGTATATGTTATATTTGCAAATACATATGTATATATAAAGAACGATAAAACTTATTAAAATAACGGGATGAACCACCTTAACATGATCGGAATTTTTCCAACGAAAACCTTTTCATATCTACGCTCTGTTACTTCATCCTCCCGTTGAATTTGCTTCGTAATATCAACATACAGAGGCGAAGAATAGGTAAGATTACGTAGACGTGCCTGAAGTACTCGAAAATCGCCGCGCAAAAGGGTTTAATAAACTTATCGGCACCAATGATTCTAAAATGCACCATCACATTCGAACGGAGTTTGTGGATTCGATGAAACAATAGGAAAGGATCTGCATGTCAAAATGAGTTTCGACTCATAACCCTAAGAGATTCCTAGTTGGAAAGTTGTGACGTAATATGACCTCCCTACATTTGTCAGATATACAAGTTTAAAACACTTACCACTCCACCGGGTACTTCCCGGAGATGGAGATTCAGTGGAAGGACCTTTTTCTGCTGCGCCGAATTGACATATGCCTCCCACATATAAAAGAAAACCCCACTCAGCACACAACCACTGTGCTACTAGCCTTTGGTTTACCTACTTAATTCACACGATAATTATTAATGATTATGGAGCGGCAAAGAAAAAAACAGTAAATTACTGGTCAAGAAGAATACTTTAAATGCATGTGTCATGTTGACGAGGAATTGAACTTCATTTCCGATGTATTCCTCGCCAGAGTCAGCAGAACGTGAATCGGAGAATGGAGACAAAGGCAATTATGATGTTATCAGTTATAAGTGGTTGATTAATGCGCCACCTCTAAAAAACAAAGTCTAAAACAAGAAGATCGACGATGTGATGCGTTTTACAAATAAATGGTGGACAACACCCTTTAACGGCCAGGTTGCATAGGATGTCAAGGTACAGAAACTCACCAACCCTATGATAAAACCAAGGCAAAAATAACTATGAAGAAAGAATATGATCCTCTTCGACGCTCTGAAGGAAGCAGAATTCACTGGGACACTACTGTTGTGAGAGGGAAAAATAGAGACATCACTGGAGTCCACCTGAAGATAAACAGGAAAAAAGGTGGGCAGGTGGACGACGTGCGATACCAAGTGATAGATAGACAAATGAGTACCTTGATCCTTTATAGATAAGCGTAAATGCTATGAGTGTTCTTGGAAGACCAAAGCTAGCATGAGATTTATTGCGCCCAATTTAGGAGACAAGGTTTAAATTGCAATCCCCTCATTGTTTTATGTCACCCGTTCATAAAAAGAACGATGGAAATAATGAGTGATAATGGTAACTAAAAATCTTAAGGTTACCTCATTAGGCATCATTGGCGTCGGTGCTCCGTCTTTCTCCCAGTGCGTTGGTTTCGATAAATAAATCTGCTCAAATTTTAGCGAAAACTTTGTTGGGTTTTCAATGTCTCCTTAAGCAAACAATGTTTAGTCATACAAGGCTAAAGGCTTCAGGAATGTGAACGGGCAATTACCAGAGAAGTGCTGCACTTCAGCTTGTAGTTCCACAGCAGGTGCATCCTCCACAATTCTTTGCACATTCATTTGGATGAACTCATCAAACGAATCGAGTTGCTGACGCACAAGACCCTTTTCGTCAAAATATGCACTAATCACTACCCAACACGCCTCCTGTAAAAAAAAGCTGACGATTTTCAATGACAGAAGCAAGGGTCTTTCGTTCGACCAATATTAAGTTTATTACTAGTCATAGGTGTTAAACAACCAATCCTTACTTGCCACTGTTCGCTTGATATTTCATCTGCGTCCTCTTCTTCCATATCCTGATCGACTCCCTCTCCACCATACGGCATGTCATCGTCGTCATCTTCATACATCGCCGATTAATGAACAGAGAGTACTAAATGAACTAGGAATCAATGTGCTTTAATGTTATGACAGTGATTCAAAGCCCAAGTGGTGTAAAGACATTTGCAAGTGCTTTTCAATGCTGGAGATGATGAACACTAAAGAACAAGTCAAACGAAAAGCCTGACAAGTGATAACCAAAAATCCAACGACATGACTGCCGAAAAAGTTATAGTTAGTGACTAGAAAATAAAAAAAGTACACAAATATGCCACTGAATGTAATACGCAGGAAACACGACCAAATGTAAAAACGAGGTTATGCCACCGAAAAATTTATTGACGGATTCAAACCTGTAGAGAAAAAATTGACGAAAAAACGGGTAACAAAACTATTAAAGATGGTACAAGATTGTAAAAAGCTTGTAATTGGTCTGCTGTTAGTACTGAATTGAGGGTAAAGGCATAAGATGAAGATTTCTCAAAAACATTAAACGGCATTGTTCAGGCAGCATGACGCAACAAATGAGATCACAAACGGCTGTTCGCAAATTTTAAAAAAGCGTTCATTAGAAATTTCCTTCTAGATAGAGATCAGGACCGTGTAACAATGCACGAAATAGAGAGATCACTAAAAGTTGAGAAATGAAGATATTCAAATTAAACTAAGCAAGTGGTGTGATTAAAGTCAACCAGCAAGCGGAGGACCAAGGTAAACCATAGAAACTTCTGTGTTGCCATATACCGCACAAATAGCTGGAAATAACTTGACTGGAGGTAGGTCGGTGAATGCAAGTCCAAGAAATTCTGCACCCGAACGTTCAAAATAGACTATGTGGCGATCGCAATCCAACACTAATCGTATCCGCTCTCCAACCTAAATAGTTAAGTTTTAAAATATGTTGACAAAGATCTGTACAAAAAATGAGAAAATTTAAAATTGAAGGTTAAAACTGGAAAACCGACTATTAGTACCATTACTACCACATACTCAATTCTGTACCAGTTGGGATAGAATCAGTCATAGAGCCCTGAGCAGCCAGGGAGTCCCTACTCAGTATACGAACCTTCGTAAGCTGTGGAAAAAATTCAAAACCAAAATACCACCATTCTATAACGATATTGTCAAAAGAGTTGTCAGGAAAGGCGTGACCATTAGTTAATTGAGCCGTTGCTGAGAATATCTCTCAGATCATCGTTTTTAAGCAGGATGACTTTCACCTACTTTTATTAAAGGCGTAACTCTGTCGCTTTGTGTCATCATAAGGAGAATTTTACAAAAGAAGTGACAACTTTAATAAAATGCGTTTTCCAATAAGAACCCTTCATGTAAGACTGGAAAGTGCCATATAAGTTATTATGATAGCAAAAATCTTCCACTTTTATCACTCAATTGAAGCTGGTTTTTTTCCAAAAACGTTGGTGCTTTTTTGGTAACTAGACTACTTGAACAGATGGAAAGTCCAAAGACTTATAGAAAGCTTTTTCGCAATCTATTCAAGAGGAAATACAATTCTCCGAAAGCGCTCTTTCCCTCTAAGGCTGCTTGGAATCAAAATTTTCAGAGCTTAAAATTAAACTTAGTTGTTTAAAATTCCCAGCGAAACCCAGCTTCTGCAAACGACTTATTCGAGGGTATCATCGCGATCGGATGGACAAAACCATACTTATTCAATTGGTTTTGCACTACGAGTATGAGTCTCTATGACTGAAAAAAAAATTACGAAGTAAAAACAGAAATTAACCGCACTAGAAAAACTTCAAAGCTCTATTGGCAAGGATCTATAAATTTTGAAGATTTTTACCTCAATTAATAAATTTCACTGTGACTTCAGACATGTTGGTTTGAAGTTCAAAACGGCCTTTATTGGAGAGCTTATTACTGGGAAAACAACTCTTGTTGGACAACAGGTGCCAAATATCCACTCTCGCGATTATAGCGGTTCGACTTCAGATGTTCCTAATCTACCACGTTAGCATACCTGATATTTCGGAGGATTATTTACACGTGGGTAAACACCCAAATTTTCTCCGTTGTGCATTAATGTGTTATCTACAAGGTTCCATCCCCAACTTTGGTCATCACTTCCGAGCAGAGGCAAGTAACCAGGACAATGAAGAGCAGCATGCCTGAATTGAACGGCAAATAATAAGATACTAATGCGATAGGTGAGCATTTATCTATACGAAAAATCACACCTCGTTGCAACACCTACAACAGCCACCGTTCCTAAAGGACCCTCCCATGTGATGTCAAAGGCATGCACTCCTAGCGACACTCCTATCTAAATGATACGATCTTATGCACGAAACATAGAGATGCGTGTATAGCACAGTAGACAGATAAAGGTGACATAGGTGGTTTGGTCGCCGGTGTCCGGCGAATCCACCATCAAGGTCAGAAAGCCGGTGCTAAGCTTGCCTGGGACGGTAAAAAAAGTAGGAAAAAGAACTTGATTTGAGGAAGATCTATACACAGTATGCTCTCGATGCCTTAGGGAAAGAAAGTTTTGCCCAACAGGAAAGCTAGCAATTAAACAAAAGCTGTGCTGTAAGCCACACGGTTCATTATGATTTGTGAGGCCTAGCTGCTCAAGTATTCGAGAGAACATATATATATATATATATATATATATATATAATATATATATATATACGCACACATATACATATATATTCATACACGTACATGTATGCATAAACGTATACATATGTACATATATATGTATGTATATACTTACATATACATGCATGCATGCATGCATAATTTTAACCTGCTGGTTCAACTACTGTTTGAAAATCTGCGGTTTTCTTTGGAAATTGCTGAATACTGGTCCAATAGATACTCCTCAGAATACTCAGATGGAACTAGCAAGTGCGTTCGTTGATCTACACTACAGAAAACGCCAACTTTCGTATATCAGAAAAAGCACTTTTCAGACAAGTTTGATAGCAATTCCGTCACCACGAACGGATAGAGTTTGGTACGGGGTTAAACCGGCACCTTACGCATACTTAACGGCCAGTACTACTGGGCTACCCACACATCGTATGTACTCAGTGCTCCTAATGTACAAAAGAAACACACCTTTCCTCTGACACCATCAGTGCTTTGCGCTACAGGCTGACGATGTACAGTGAAACCATTCCCACGAACATAATTGTTCCTTAAAGTGCAACTATTTCGTTCGTAGCAATCACGTTCCGATAAAGGAAATTTACTTAGAAACATCACTGGGATTCCATGCAAAATAGAATGCTCGTAATTTCTTCTTATATGTATTCAGCTCATTCAGCAAATACGGATCGGCTAGAGCTGATTCTGAAATCTTCCTTTGTGCCAAGGATTTCCACACAATACTGTCCTAAAAAATTGAGAATACACTGAGAAAACGCACTGTTTAGTGAAAGCGACTAGAGTTCATAACTTGAAGAAGCCGTGAATTAACCTCAAAATTTAACACGTGAGACCAATGACGGCACACGAGCATGCAGTTATGTATGTCTGACAAATTCAGATACTTGAAAACTTGCGACAGAATATGATGTGGCAGACGTGTAGCTAAGACTGAAATCGGTATGATAAACAGTATGCCGCATCGCAATAAAATATAAGACATCTAGATTCTCCAGATTTTTCCTTTATATTATAAACTATAAATTATCAATGTACCTGTCCTAAGTTAAAACTACGTTCATAATAATAATACCAGTTAATTGAACTATAGCTGTACAGTGCCCTTAGATTCTTCTAAAAATGGTATGAATAAATTCCTAAAGTGATAGAAGAAAAACTATTTTGCTCATTGTAAGAAAAGAACCTTATCACATGGAATAAGACAACGACTCTATAGGCCGTTCCGAACCGAAAATTGCTTATAAGTGAGATATTCAGACAGGAAGGACTCAACTCGGTTTGAAGAATGGCATGCTTTAGAATGAGGTTTATGCTGTAATTTCACCCTACTTACCTTGATAACCGATGAGGTTTCCTCCTGAACGCTTTGACAACCACAAGATTGCCGAAATATTCGCAAAACTCCGGACCGCAGAGGACTGAAAGACAGGTGAAACGAAGTACCCGCATGGTGTGACGGTGAACGCGTTACACCGCGTAAAAAGCAATAGCGCGTTCGTTCCCCACCGTGGACACCTGTGGTCCAGAGTTTTGCAAATATCTCAGTAATCTTGTGGTTGTATTTCGCTTAATAACCTGCCATAAAAATTGTAGAAGGCAGAAAATAAAAAGTAGACATTTTGACAATCCTTTTTAGCAACAACGACAACTGTGGTGGCTTTTCTTCTGACAGCTAAAGACAAGTGTTTGATAACCAGTGAACATGAGGAAATGAAAACCGATACTTTTGAAAGAGATTTTACTCTCCCACCACAAGATCATATTTCTCCTCTAAAAGCTCGTTTAACTTTAAATCGCCTTCTAAGCGATTTGACTTATTATACAGTACTCGAGCACTCGGTCGACTACACCGCTACTTGGGCATCGCTATAATCACGCTGTCCTAGAAGAATTCAAGTCGCAAATCAGTAGACATCTCTTCGATCCACAAGAAGTGTTGACTGTGCCTGCGAGGGACTTCACAACTCCCTAATACAGCTGTTTTATGTGCAACCAACCTATCAATGTGAAGAAAAAGCTATAGATTATCTAATCGCTGGAATCACAGCTGTCCTAGAAGAATTCAAGTCGCAAAGCAATAAACATCTCTCCGATCCGTAAAAGGTGTTGACTGCGCCTATGGCAGAGTTGGACTTTTTAATATGGATCTTTTGCAAAAATCCAGTGCTGATTACCGGTGTTCCAGTAAGTAGGAATTCCACATTCTGATGTGGAAAGTCTAGCCAGCATGTTTATGAACACTGACGGTAGTTTCTCTAGCTGTTTGGAACTAACTAATTCTGGACTGATATGACTCTGACTCTATATGACTCTAACGAAGAGACCATAAACGACAAGAGGGAGGTAGACTACATGATAGCTGCCGATATCGTGTACGTCTCTCTTATTCTGCAAGAATCCGGTTCTCCTAGAGTTCCACTTACTAGTAACTCTAGTCTGACAGGTAATTTACGAAAGAGGCGTCAAGGCTTCGAGGAGAACAGGCGGGTTTCTCAGATGCGCGGCTATAATCATGTTCTGGTACCATACGGTTCTTCATCTACGATGCCGCATGTCTGCCTCTGGAGTAAGAGAACCATGAGAAGAGAAGATAAAATCCGTTCTCCGTTGCGCAGTGATTACACTAAAGAAGATATAGCTCTCTTGTCAAGCCCATATTGAACGCTTCCATCTCGTCTTCGTATTGGTTTGCTTTCGAGTGGTAAACGACGAACATCATCAAAGATGGTCAACTTCATTGCAACCGTAAACCTACGATTCGGCGTTAGGTGTTCGAAGAATTTCATTTTAATCTTCAAATTAGTGATGCTAAAGACGCTAATGCTAACTTCTGTATAGTCACATGGTCCTAGCAGTAGGTATTATCCAATATCACTAGCGGCGTTGTCAGTCGCCTATTTGATGACGTTATATCCACTCTTCCTAGCGTGTATGCGTCAAAAGCACATCGCCGCCTTACTCCTCCCAGGTACAAACAGCTTGAGAATGTTCCAAAACATAGAAAAGCACACAAAAGATAGCACAGGATATGAGAAACAACAAGATTATTAACATAGACACAACATACAATTTTGGGGGGGGGCGGCAAGTTTTGCACCATCACAACCCATTTCTAAAACGACCCTGCGTAGGATAGCATGCAACCTTTATGAGCTTCAAGATCGACTCCGCTGTCAAGTCAAGCAAGAAACATCAAATAGAGATAAAAATCAAGAGGCGGCGATACTACCACCATCTCCTTTCCCTAAAACGTTTTTAGACAGCAGGACCCTAACGATGGAGTTGACATAAAATTCCGCGTGTCTTCGGACGGTGTTCTCAAGAGCCTTGATCACTACCACGATAGAAAGTTTATCTCTAACCTTACAGCCGCACAAAAATGTGGCATGCGGGAAATTAGAGAATTAATAAACTCGAAAACAATAAGATTGTCTGTTAGTGATAAGGGGGGAGAGTTCGTAGTTATCCCTCGCTAGCTGGATGTTGAGATAACAGAGGAACATCTTAGTGATGCTACTCTCTATCGCCCATCCTCTGAAAAGGAATATAAAAGTCAATACCGAAAGCTAAACAATCAATGGATCAGCGTGGCAAAGGCTGCGGGTTTAAAACCATCGGTTATTTCGCACTTTAAAATCGATAGAACAACATGTCCCGTCCTATACCTACTTATTAAAACACCTAAGTTGGTATCACCTGATGATCATACGTCAACCAATCCGTCATCATTTAAGGTTAGACCGATCATCAGCTGTGTAGACGGGCCAACGGATAGAATAACCTGGTTT